TGCATGGGTAAGAGAAACAGAGGAGTGAGTGGGTAGAGAGAGAGTCGAAAGTAGCAATGGTAGACGGAGATACAGGAACGGTAGAAGCATATGGATGGTTGAGAGAAGCGAGATAAGGAGCAGTGACAGGCGGTAGGGTGACACTACACAAGAATCGGGGGCGGGTTGGCGGAGGCGAAGGGCGAAAGACATTGAAGGGAGTAGGAAAGGAGCGATGATGAAGCAGAGCAAGATGGGCAAGGCCGAGGCAACATTGGGGGGGGCCGAGAAGAGCCTGGAGCTGGAGAGCGACAGCAAGAGGAACGGAGCAGCAAGGGTGAAGCAACAGGGAGGGGAGGGGGCGGGCGAGTGGACAGTGGACCGATGGGTGGGCTTGGAGTGAGCTCTCTTTGCCTCACCTTCGACCTGCATCTGCCATCTCGTCCTTCGCCTCCTGCCCCCCCCATCGTGCCCTCGTCCCCATCCTTGTCCTAATCATCCCCCCTTTCCTCACCCTCGCCCCTCCTCCCCCGAAGTCGTGCTTCTTCTGCTTCTCTCACTCCTCCCCCATCCCTCGTCTCTCCCACCGAAATCCCTCCTCCATAAAAGTGGAAGGGCCCTCAAAGGCCAGAGTCGTCGCGAACACCACGCGGGGGCCTCCCGGAACGCCGAGTCCACCTTTTGACCGCCCCTCCTCCCTCGGGCCCATGACTTGGGCCGCCAGTCCTGACCACCCAACCTGGCCCTCCAATCTTAGAGGAACGAAGAATGACATAAACATACAACTCGGAGGTCCGCGCACATTTCTCGGATCTTCGCTGGACCCCCCTCCCTGGCGCGCGGAGCGCGCCAGGGGCGGCGCCGGAGGCGCCGCCAAGGGGCCCCAGCGCCGATCCGAGAAATCCGCGCGGATCTCCGAGTTTTTATGTTTGTGTCTTTGTTCGTTCTCCTTAGCGATATCGACGCAGTCGCTGCAGAAGATTGTCGACTTCGGCCCACGGGACCTGGCCAACCTGGCGTGGTCTTTCGCGGCCCAGGCGGTCCTCCCCGACACACGGCTCATGACGGAGCTGGCCGCGGAATCCATGGACAACCTCTCGGCGTTCTCGCCGCAGGAGCTTTCCAACACGACATGGTCAGTTGCCAAGTTCCGGGTACTAGACGCCCCATTACTTGAGGCAATCCAGCTGCCTCAGGCAAATCCCGTCGCCGTGCCATCGCAGCATTGAAATGTATGCACGATGCTTCCACCAAGCACCCCCGAAGAGGCTATGTATAATCATCTTGCGGCCGTCTGGGAAGCAGCGCTAGGAGGGTATTGCGTGGCCTGACGGTGCATGCTTATTGCATTGCTTTTTGGAGGTTTCTCGAGGAAGCTTCTGGGGACCTTGCTGGGGGTTTCTCTAAGACCTTTTGGGAGCATCTTCGGGCCCTCTCAGGGCATCTCGGGGACCTGCTAGGATACTAGGGTTGTCTTGGCCAAGATGGCTCTACCGAGATCTCCCCAAGAGGCTCTGTGGAACCATCTTGAGGCCGTCTGTGTGGGTCCTGAGGGTTTTGTTGGAACCCTCTCTGTGGCGATCTTTGGCCGTCTTGGAGGTCCTCGGGTCATCGTGGCGCCCCTTGAGGCCGTCTTGGAGATATTCTCGGGCCCCAACGTGCCGCTTGCACGGTGGCGGATATCGTCAGAGCCGCCAGGGGGGTCCAGCGCGGATCCGAGAAACCCGCGCGGACCCCCGAGTCTTTCTGTTTGTGTCATTCTTCCCGCTCCTAAATCTGACCCTCCCCTGCCGGCACATGCTCGCAGTGGCCCCCGATGAGGGCTCTCCCCCCCGGCCCCCTGGCGCTTGCCCTGCCTTCCCTGAAGGGGCCCAGGGACACACACACACAAATAAATACACACAGATAACAGGATTCCCCATCTTCTCCCCTATCTTCTGGGTTCTTGCCTTCCCCCCCCCCTTCCCATAGTCTCCCATACCTTCTGGGAGTCGACGATCCATTGTGTCTGTGTGTTTTTGTCCCCTCTCGACTCCCGCGGCCTCGACACGCCGACCCCTCGCCTCGAGCCGCGGGGCCGCCTCTCCCCCCGCCGGCCGCCCGGGCAGGGGCTTCCCCGATGGCGGTGCTCCGGGCGCCGGGCAGCACGAGCATCAGCTCCACGCTCTTGGAGGCGTAGAAGAGCACGGCGGGCATCACAAACCTTCGCCGGCGGGCTCGCCATAAAGACGCGCTGTCCATACAGGTGAGCGCGCAGCCAGAACAACCATTAGGATCCGCAGCCGCACGTGCCGCGGAAGAGAGAGAGAGAGAGAGAGAAATATATGTATGGAGAGAGAGAGAGAAATAAAACAACAACAAAAAAAGAGAGAGAGAGAGACAGCCGGCCAGCAGGCAGGCAGGCAGGCAGGCAGACAGACAGACAGGCAGACATACAGCCAGCCAGCCAGACAGACAGGCAGGGAGAGTCCGCCGCGAAAGGAACCCCCAATAGACTGCACCCCAGAATGGACCGCAATAGAAACTCAGCATTCGCACCAAATCTCAGCGCTTTGGGGCTCGGGAAGCCGCAGTGATTGGGGGAACGTGTGAGGAAGCACTCGGCATATGACGGGTGCCCAAGGCTTCTGCGGGGAGGCACTCACAGGCTTCAAGATGACCCAAGACCGCCCCAGGAGGAGGCCAAGACAGCACGTGGCTGGCTCAATGTGGGCTCACAAACTCCCAGGCATCCCCTGGTCCCCCCAAGACTCTCCCAGGCAAAGACCGCACACGACATCTCCCATGCACCCAAGAAGCCCTCAAGGAAACCATGTGGCATATGACACGACAGGATGGCTGCCTAACTGTGCAAACGGCCCGACACACAGTGCGGACCACCTGAGCAGCGTACGGGCTCCAGCTGACCGACCGCAAGAAGCACTGCTGCCGCTACGGCATGCAGAAGGCGAGTCTCAGCGCGGCAAGCCATGGGCAGAGGCTGCCCGCCTCCACGGGGAGCGAGAGGAGGAGGAGGAGGAGGAGGAGGAGGAGGAGGAGGAGGAGGAGGAGGAGGAGGGAGGAGGAGGAGGAGGAGGGAGGAGGAGGAGGAGGGAGAGGAGGAGGAGGGGAGGAGGAGGAGGAGGAGGAGGAGAGGAGGAGGAGGAGGAGGAGGAGGAGGAGGAGGAGAGGGGGAGGAGGAGGAGGAGGAGGAGGAGGAGGAGGAGGAGGAGAGGAGGAGGAAGAGGAGGAGGAGGAGGAGGAGGAGGAGCAGGAGAGGGAGGAGGGGGAGGGGGAGGAGGGAGGAGGAGGAGGGAGGAGGGAGGAGGGAGAGAGCGAGAGTCCAAGATCTGCCGCAAATCTCCCATCGCTGGAGCACGTGGGCAAGAGCCGGGGCGGCCGCCCCCCTTGCGAGAGGGATCCTCCCCCTGAGGACCTCCAGCCAACTCGGCGACAGTGGAGGCCAGTCCACAAGAAACCTTCCACAGGAAACCCAACCCTGAGGCCCCAGCACGCCCATTGATCTTCGGTGTGGGAACTTCACGCTGTCCATCGCAAAACCATCGAGACCCAAGAAACCCAGGGCACCCTGGAGGCAAGCAGGGCGTTTCTTGGCACGGGCCTCCACTGCATGGGGCCCATGACTTAGGCCATGATGCCCATCCTGGCGTTTGCACCGTCGGCCTGGAGATACATCCAAGACCCAGCCGCTCACAAGGGCGACTGCGTTCCCCCGTCCTCGGCCCGCCGCAGACAGTGGACGAATGATGTCATGGCGGGAGCGACTCTCTGCTTACGAAGGAGGTGCCAGGGAGGGGGGATGTCCGTGTCTCTGGGGGGGCGAAGAGATATACCGATTCCGACGGAGCCAGGGCGAGGACAAAATTTGGTGAGGAGAAAGCGAGGGTCTCTGAGATCTGGCTTCCTGAGAGGACATATCTCGAGCGCCGCGGCTTTCTCAGAGCGTTCCGGAGCGCTCTGAGAGCGTTCCGGAGCGCTCTGGACCAGAAAGTATGTGAGCGTTTTCTTATTCGGCGTTTCGACCTTGGGCGGAATGGAGGGGGAGGGGGGGGGTTCTGGCTCCAGACCTCTGCTGAGTGCGACTGTTTGCAGCAGTGCGTCCTGTGGGGGAGACTCCGCCTGCCTGAAACAGGCGCCAAAAACAGGCAAGATCTACTCCGTGGGGGAGTGGAGGGGGGGGTGCGAGGGACCGCGCCGACCGGCAAAACAACGAATGAGAGAACGATCACTATCCTCGCCCTAGCCCCGTCCGACCGATGCCGCCACTCCCTGGATCTATCCTGAGGCGCGGTCTGACCAAGACTCCGAGGCGAATCCAGCCGTGGCGACGCCGACCCGCGGCAGGCCCCAGCAGTCGAAATCAAGATAAGGGCATCGATACCGGCTCGTTCTTCTCCTCTGGGACGCACTGGAGAGCAGCAAGAGCCCTGGTCTTGGCGGGGGGCGATGAGGATGGGGACTGGCTCCGTGGAAGAAACGTTGACCTGGAATCGGTGGTGCACCACTGGTAGGTCGGCGATGCAGTAGGGACCCGACCGCCATAAACCTGACGCAAGAAACCCAACCCTGAGACCCCAGGACGTCCATTGACTCTTGATGTGGGAAGGTCATACTCTCCATCGCAAAACCATCGAAACCGAAGAAGCCCAGGGCACCCTGGAGGCAAGCAGGGCGTTTCTTGGCATGGGCCTCCACTGTAGACTTAGGTCGGGCCTGTCCCCCTACAGGCGGAGCTTGGACGAAAAATTGAAATTATCCCAGTGCAACCCTACCTAGGAGTTGGAACCTCTAGGAAAGAAACATTAGTAGGAGCGGTAAACGCCGTCCTCCTCCTTCTCATCGTCGTAGTTGTAGCAGCAGCGGTAGTAGTAGCTATGCTATGCTATGCTATGTTATGATATACTATGCTGCGCTATGCTATGATATAGCATAGCATAGTATGATATGGTATGCTATGATGTGATATGATATGCTATGCTATGTTATGATATGCTATGCTATGTTATGCTATGTTATGCTATGCTATGCTGTGCTGCGCTATCATATGCTGCGCTATGCTATGCTATGATATGCTATGCTATGATATGCTATGCTATGCTATGCTATGCTATGCTATGCTATGCTATGCTATGCTATGTTTTTGCTTTGCCTTCGTTTTTGCCTTCACTGTTGCCTTTGCTTTTGCTTTTGCTTGGCACCCAGGGAGCGCAACTGGCGGAACCGCGCGCTTGCTTTTACCTTTGCTGTTGCTTTTGCTTGGCTCCCAGGGGACCGGGGGAACCGCCCTGGGCGGTTTACACTGCCCGTCCCCTTTAAGCCAAGACAGTAAGAACCCTTCTAGGCAGAGCCTAGGTAGGTAAATAGTCAAAGTATGTTCAAAAAAATAAAAATGGAAAAATCGTCCCAACTATTTGTCGACCATGTTTGAATACTCCTCCGGCGGAAAGACAGGCCCGACTGAACTGTAGACTCTCGACCGCAGAAAAGACGGGGCATCCCTGGAGGCGAGGTGGGGCACCTAGGCCCAGAGCGGCGAGGAGTGAGCGATTGGGGGGTCGATGCCGCCGCCCCGAGCCAGGTCCCCCCGTCGTTGCCCCTAACTCGGCGGCGACGTCGTCGTCGGTCGTTGGTCGTCGTCGGTCGTTGGTCGTCGTCGTCGACGCGGACGTCGTCGTCGTCGTATCGTCGACGTCGTATCGTCGTCGTCGTATCGTCGTCGTCGTCGTCGTCGTCGGTCGTCGTCGTCGTCGGTCGTCGTCGTCGTCGCCGTCGTCGTCGTCGTCGGTCGTCGTCGTCGGTCGTCGGTCGTCGTCGTCGGTCGTCGGTCGTCGGTCGTCGGTCGTCGGTCGTCGGTCGTCGTTCGGTCGTCGGTCGTTGTCGGCGGCGAACGAGGGGGGAAGTGAGAAGGAGAAGGCCTTCTCAGAAGACGGTGGGACTTCTCAGAAGCCCTCGGGCCTCTTGAGGAGTGCACTCCGTGCCTCCGGGGGGGGGGCTCGGAAGACTTGGTCAGCAGGGCGGGAGACTTCCGAGCCTTCTGGGAAGGCCTCCTCCTTCTCGCTTCCCCCCCTCGAGCGGGAGCGGGCCTCTCGAGTTCCCCACCCCGCCCTCGAGGGGGCCACCCCCCTCCGCGCCCCCCGTTACCAAGAAAGAGAAAGGGGCACCCACCCCGGGGGAGAGGCCACGACCCCTGCCCCCCAACCCCCCCCTCCTCCTCCTCCTCCTCCTCCTCCTCCTCCTCCTCCTCCTCCTCCTCCTCCTCCTTCTCACTTCCCCCCCTCGCTCGTTGCCGAGATTGGAGGTCGATGCCGCCCCCCTGAGCCGGTCCCCCCCCCCTCCCCGTCGTTGCCCCCGACGTCTCGGGCGCCCCACGGGCGGGGCGCGCTTGGCGTAGGTCAGGGAGATGGCCAGGAGGATCTGCGCGGGGGCCGGCCGAGGCAGGAGCAGAATCCAACCGGGCCCTCCTCCTCCTCCTCCTCCCTCCTCCTCCTCCCTCCTCCTCCTCCTCCTCCTCCTCATCATCATCATCATCATCTTCCTCCTCCTCCTCCTCCTCCTCCTCCTCCTCCTCCTCCTCCTCCCTCTCCTCCTCCTCCTCCTCCCCCTCCGTCGGGAGGTCTCCGTCGGAAGGATCAGGGAGCATCAAAAGCCCCATCGAGGGGCTGCTGCGCCGGAGGAGGCCGCGGACCGAGCGGGAGATTCGGCCGCACCACGCGGGATCAGGCCTGACAGAGCGGGATGAGCCCCGAATCGACGAGATTGCGGACCAGGGCAGAATCAGAATTCTGAAGGGGCCCCAGGAGACATAAATGAATATACGCAAATAAAATGATTCCCCATATTTTCCCATATTTTTTGAGTTCTTGTCTTCCCCCCCCCCCCACTTCCCATATTTTCCCATATTTTCCTGGGAGTGGACGATTAATCCCACCAGCCCTCTGGGCGTCGGTGGTTTAGAGCGTTTCTTCTTCCACCCCTCCTTCTTCCCCTTCGGGGAGGGGTTTACCCCTCCCCCTACCCCCTCCCCACTGACCTGGACAGGGGGGGCGGGGAGCGGTCAGAGCGTCCAAAACGGCCTCGCCGAGGAAGCCAAAATCATTGATTTTACTAAGGTTTTGGCCCCATTTTGGCCCCCAGAGGGGGCAGCACTAATTGAAGCTCCCCTCTTCTTTGATCGATTTCCTCCAAGATGGCCCCAAGAAGCGCCCAGGAGGCACCAAGAGGCCCCAAGATGGCCCCAAGATGGCCCCAAGAGGCCCCCAGGAGGCCCCCAAGAGGATCCCAAACGGCCCAAAGAGGCCCCCCCGAGGCACCCAAGACGCCGAAAAGCCCCTCAGAACGACCCTCTACTCGCCTGGGCGTCGTTTCTGGACGGGCTGGTGGGTATACGCGAAGCGTCTAGAATTGTGTCTGTGTGGTGTTTCCCCTCCTGAAATTCTACCTCCCAGGAGCTGCATCCAGACCCCGCCACCCCAGGCTCTTCCACTGCAGCGGGCGTCAGAGACCCCCCCAAAAAAGGAGAGGGGGAGAGAGAGAGAGAGAGAGAGAGAGAAATGAGCCATCCCTGACGTTTCGGGTCCTCGAGGCTGAGTAGCTTGCCTAAGAGAGAAGTGAGCCACCCCCTCCCCCACTGGTGCTCCTCTGCCCCGCTCGCCTGGTGAAGCGCCCCCTGGGGCCTGAGAATCGCATCGGACAGCCCTGCCTCCCGCCAAGGGCGCACGAGAGGAGGAAGGAAGGCTGTGGAACGCACGGGATGAACTGTATGGAATACAGAAAGGCACGAAGTACAAATACGGGGGCCCGTGCTGAGAGAAAGAGAGAGAGAGAGAGAGAGAGAGAGCACGTTCTCTATCCTTTTGCGGGGGCTCGCGCGCGCCCGCGGCCAGCGCGCCTGGTACCTCGAGGGCCCTGCGAGCCAGAGCAGCGACAAGGCAAGGGAAGTGAGAGCGAGGCGCAAGAGGTGAGGCTGAAATGGGAATGACAACCACAAAGGCTGGCCGTGGGACCGAGGAACCCAGAGCTAACTCCGAAATGGTGGTCCTCACGGCCAGGCTGGCCTTGCTTAGCCCGAGTCGGGCCATGAACGGCAGAATCCGCCCTCTTGTTCAAGCAAGCTTACGCGACTGGCGGGCGCGGAGGTCAGCTTCGTCGTCGCCCCCCACACATCAGCAATTCATATGTTACAGAACGGCGACACTAAAAATCGGATCTCCCGGGGTGCAAGCGGTGCTGTTGTCGGCGCCGCACAGCGGATACGAAAACCAAGTGCGGCAATCATTATTCCACAAGCTGGGCGCGTTCGTTTCGGAATGCTCTTCTCATAGTCATAGGTTGGTTCGTGGAGGTATGAACTGAAAGCTGTCAATGCAAAGAGGATGCGATCCGTCACCTGTTGATAGAGATGTGCACCCAGATGAACGTCCGTCTTGCGAACGCCTTCTTCAACGTGCTGGAAGAGCAGCTGGCAACAGTGCCACGCACGCACTCATATATTGATTTCTTGGTGTGCCAATAAGGCTGGTTATACAATGCTCCCACAGCGCAAGCCTGCTCAGAGGCACCAGTGTCATCCCATCACTGCCCCTTGTAGGCCAGAGTTAGCATGACAGTGGACGCACTGCCCCTGAGCCCCGTCCTGACGTGGCCACGCCGTCAGAAGACACTACGCAACAACAATTCAGTGCCCTGGCGGCTGGGGCACTGGAGAAAAAGACCGAGGCTGAGCCAGACCATGGAGATATGGACTTGGCGTGGTGCCGGCTGGTGCATGATTACCACCAGGCGTCAGAACGCGTGGTGCCCAGGATCCCAAAACCCCGCGACGACCATGGATTAGATTAGCTCTGGTACGCATGGGTTGATCGAGAGACGCAACAAGACCAGACGAAACAAAGACAAGACAGAAATGAACAACTTGAAAAATTGATGAACTCTTCACTTGCTAAAGATCGGGCAGAGCGGCTTGGCTGGAGACACACACACACACACACTGCGACCGACGAGTTCGGTCAGATCTGGAAGCTTCAGAAAGGGGCGCCGCAGCACTCATGGTAGGCTTTGCGACGCCAGCAAGCAAGTCGCCCACAGCGACCGGCGAGCCAACACCCTCGCTGAACACTCGGAGCAAGTTCAGTGGGCAGGTCGACCGCCCGCCGCCTTGCTTGACGCATCGTCCACGCACGAGGAATGCATGATTAGCCAGGGTGCGATCGCTTGCGCTGAAGCCTGGCATGCCGCCCGAGAGCTGAAGCGAGGCAGGGCCGACGCAGTGGACGAGATGCACAGTTCTGGAAAGCGGGAACGGAGGGGGGAGTGCTGGCGATGGACTCGATCACTGGTTTCTGCATCTTGGTGCGGTCCCAGGAGACAATTCTGCAAGTTTGGCACGAATCCAAGGCACGGGTGATGTATCAAAGAGGGGAGACTGGCGTCGTGGGACAATTGTCGGCCCATCAGCCTATTGACGATCGGGTGTGAATCTTTGCCGACGTTCTCCTGCAGAGACGCAAGATGCAAACCGAAGACCGTGTATGGAAAGCACGATATGGGATTTAATCATAGCGCGGGACCGCCGACACAATCTTCGTGGCCCGCCGCATGTTGGAAGACGGATGGTCCACGAGGGGAGGGCAATCAATCCCACCAGCCCTCTCGGCGAAGGTGATCTAGGGAGGCTCCTCTTCCAACCCCCTTCTTCCCCTTCGGGGAGGGGTTTATCCCTCCCCACTACCCCTTACCCTGGACCTGGACGGGGGTGGTCGCGAGGGGCTGCAGCGTCCAAGATGGCCCAGGACGACTCCAAAAGCGCCTCAGAGAGCCCAAGACGGCCTCCAAGATTGCTCAAGATAGCGCAAGATCACTCAAGATGGCTTCCACGATGTTCCAAGAGGCCCCAAGACCGCCCCAAGACGGCTCCAAGTGGCCAAAGAGCTCCCCAAGGAGGCCCCGAAGAGGCCAAAACCCGTCCAAAACTGAGAGAATATCATTGTGTGTGTTGCATTCCCGCCCCTTCGCTTCCAATGGCCATCCAAGGCCTCAAGATGGCTGCAAGGTGGCGCAAGAGGGCCCAAAGAGGGGCCCAAGAGAGCCCCAAGACGGCCCCAAGAGCGCCCAAGAACGCTCCAAGAGCGCCCCTAGAGCGCCCCAGGATGTGATGTTCGGCACTCTGTAAGGGCAAGACTAATTGAAGTTCCCCTCTTGTTTGATTCATGTCTTCCAAGATGGCCCCAATAGCGCCCTTAAAGCTCCCAAGAGCTCCCAAAGAGGGCCCAAAGAGGCGCCCGGACAGTCCCAACAGGCGCCCAAGGGGCCTCCAAGAGGCCCCCAAGAGATCCCCAAGAGGCCTCAAAAGGATCCCCGAGGCATCGTTTCTAGACGGGCTGGTGACGCTCTGGCGGGATCGCGTCGCAAGTTCGACTGCCCAAACAAAATTGTCGCATGGCTGAACCGTGAATTTGTAGCGGCAGAGTTTAGGCAAACATCCTCGGAGCACCGGCAGCATCATGATATCTGCCAAAGATGCCCACTGTCGCCCTTTTATGTACCATCGTAATGACCACGCTGCGGACAACCGCTTACACTGGGTTGCGTGAGGAGTTCGGCAACATCCTGCTGAACTCGCCAGAGAGCTCGTTTACGCGATTGGCTCTCTCCTCTAAAAGTGGCCCGGCGCTGATGCAGGAATTGGCGCATCTCAATTGGAAAGAAATAAATTGAGTTCATGAGCGTCAGATCTGACACCACCATTCTGAGTAACGAGGCATGCCGCTGGAGGAAAGCAATCCCCATATGAGTTTGTACACATTTGTCTGCCGACGCCGAGGTCGAGACTGAACTCGGCCGCGAGGGATTTCAAGACGCTTCATGCCATTGGGTAACATTCCAAAGGTTCTTACACTTAGCGTTTGTGTGTGTTGTCTCGAAGCTGACATACTCACTGCTTGCGGCATGCCTGAGCAAAGCAGAGCCGCGGAGGATCGATAGCTCTCAAAATCGTGGCCTGCGAAGTATTTGCCGTGTACCACCAGCGTGCATCAGTCGAGAGTCCAACGCTGCTGTGCTGGAGATCGTTGCTCAAGAGAACCTCAGCGAAGGCCTCGCCATAAGAGAGATGCCGTTCATGGCGCAGCTGGCCAGGCGACCAGCAGAAGACCGATTGCGGTGCTCGGTGTTTGAACCAGGTACAATACAGTCGACAGGTACCATAAGGATGAGCGACAAGGATGCAAGGGTCTTGGACGCCCGTTTCGAAGCTTTTCGAGCGGGGCGCGGCCAACGAAGTGGCCAAGGATGGACCGAGAGAAGGATGCAAGGGTACCCTTGGGAAGGTTGCCCATCCTTACTATGCAGGAGAGCCCAGAATCGAATCGACAAGTCGGCTCGGAAGTCGACATGAGTCGGATCGGCGGAGATCGGCAGCCGAGTCGGGAAGAAATCGCATCGGCAGAAGCCGGCAGGCCAGTATGCCTCCAAGGAGAAATCGGAAGCCAAATCGGAATCCGAAGTCGAATCGAATCGGAATCGGTGTCCATCGAAATCACGCCGAATCGAATCGAAGGAATCGAAGCGAGCCCCGCGGTGCGGGTTGACTGTACGGCTGCGCCAGCCGACTGGTCCGAGGAGGATAGGCAGACCTCGACGGGGGTGAAGCGCGCCTCGTGGTGCGCAAATTGCATACGCAGCTCTCTCGCACGCACGTCTCGCTGACTGTGGGGATCGAACGCTTCTACGGATCCCAAGCCTTCCTCCTCCCTCCTCCCTCCCCCCTCCTCTGAATGGTTTCCTCCTTTCTAGGGGAGGGGAGGGGGGAGAACGAAGTGGATCTGTATCGTTGTCCTCCTCCGGTGACTACTTCCGCCCAGGAATGGGAGCTGGTTGTCAGAAGCTGGAAAGGGTGCTGAAGGCAGTCGATTGATCTCCATTTTTCCTCTCCTCTGCTCACACACCGCCTGATGGAGGCTCTACCTGACCCTCACCTGTATGACTGGTGGACTACTTGGCCGCAATAAACGTTTCATTGGAAACTCGCAAGGCCTCCAGACGACCAAAGACAATGCCAAGACGATACCAAGGCGGCTCCACGACTCCAAGATGGTTCCAAAGTGGCCTCAAACGACCAGGCAATGACTAAAGACGACCCCAAAAGGACCCCTGGGATCCATACATGATCCTGACGTGGCTTCTAGATGGCCTGAGGGCGACCACAAAATGGCCAAAATCAGGAGCAACGGGCGACTGCAAGTTCATGACCACACGGTGGACCCTGGCGAATCGATGGTGGCCGAACCATATTATGACCCCGGGATGATCTCAAGGACACCTCAAGACGACCCCCAGGCGCACTCACCTGGCGGAATCCATGAATAGCCCTGGGACTTCTGAACACCTTTTTTTTCCACGAAGGGACCTCTGGAGGCTCTTGGGCTAGAAGACAGATGGCCGACAGCGCTTCCGCCGAGCGGGATCGCGGCAGACCACGCAAGGGGCAGGGGGGTGGACACGCGCCCCCCGAACGTTTACAAGCATCTTCCTGGTTATCCCCCTCACTCCTCCGCATTAGGAGGACGACGGCGAAAACGACAATCGCGGGAGGAAGGGGGGGAGGATGAGTTGTTTGTTATATTTTTTGTTTTTTTCTATTTTTTACCCCCTACATGGAGCCCGCAGCGAGCCCCGTCCGCCCGAGGCGCCAGGGTATGGGGCGTCACCAGGGGCGCCCGCGCGGGGCACCCACCTGGCCGTGCCGACCCAAAAAAAGGGCCAGACCACCGAAGCACCCTCCCCTGAGTCCCGCCCGCCGCTGGGACGAGGTCGAGACCTGCTCTCACAAGCTGCTGAGGTATGCAGCATCACCAGGGGCGCCCCAACGAGGCACCCACCTGGCCGTGCCGACCCGTAAAAGGGCCAGACCACCGAAGCCACTCCCTCCTTCAACTGTCGCCATGGCCAGGGCCACGCAGGATGCGCAGCACGATCGCGGTGTTCTTCTTAATCTCGTCGGCCATGACGTCAACGCTGCCGTCCAGGCCGTTGACGGCCACAACCATGTCCATGACCTTCACCTTCTTGGTCGGGTTGGTCGTATTCCAGTGCTTGATCAAAGAGCCGTCCTTGATGCCCGTGATCCTGAGCATCTGCCCGTCCAGGAAGGGGTCCACGTCGATCCCGATCGACTCCGCAGGTGAACTCTTCTGCAAGACAACGTTGAAGTACTTTCCCTTGGACCCCTTGCCCTCCACAATTCGATGAACGCCACTTCCACCGTGGAGAACACCCCGCTCAGCACGTGGAGAACCCACAGGCACGGCACGGGGAACAGGTTCCACCAAATGAACACCCTCAGCACGAGTACGACGACCACCGGGAACTGCACGAAGATCAGGCCCCACGCGTTGAGCATTGGGATGCAAACCATAATCACCACCATCAGGATCATCATGCCCGCCCGCCTGAACACCATCACCTCCCAACTGTTGGTCATCGTCACATTCGTCCGCCCACGCCGTCCGAGCAGTTCGACTTTTCTCATTCAACGTCATAGTAGCATGCTCCACACGCCAATCCGGCTCCACACGAAAGCAACTACGACGATGAGGCTCCACGGGCTCCACGCGTAGAGCAGGCTCCGCTCGAAGTTCAGGCTTCACGCTACGATCAGGTTCCACGCGAAGATAAGGTTCCACATGAGGGCCAAACTGCCCTCGTCGATCAGGCCCCCCACTGAGTTCACGAAGATCAGGCGCCACCCGAGGAACATCATCCAGAGGATCCTGTACTTTCTCGGCAGCCCGTTCTCGCCTGCGCGCTCTTGGTCTCGCACTCTTGGACAGCTCAGGCTCGACTCCAACATCACCCTCCGCGCGAAGATCGCCATCCAGCTCCCCTGGTCGAGCATCAGGCTCCACACGAAGATCGGACTCCTCACGAAGCTCGGGTTCCACACCAGGCTCCGGATCCACCCGCCGAACATTAGGCACCACACTAAGAGCCGGCTCCTCCAGAAGATCGAGCTCCACGCACCGCGCGATCGCCACAGGAAGATCACCACATTCGTAATGCACACCGTCGATTACATCCTCCTGTGCGTCATCCTTCGGATGATCCGCGTCGTAGAGAGAGTGTTCATCACCGAGACTCTCGGCCAGTGCCCAGTCCAGCATGCCAGGATCCGCACTATGACCTCCAGGAGGCTGTAGAAAAGCTCCAAACCGATCACAATGATCTCCATGCTCTCCATGAAGCTCACCATGCCCTCTACTAGCAAACGCCACCATTTCACCATGAGAATCACAATGGCGGTCCATAAAACATTCAGCAGCACCATCTTGTTGATGAGGCACCAATTCTCGTAGCAAAATGTGAACATCGCCCGCGGCCTCCGCGCGGAACTCGGGCGCGTGCACGTTGAAGGGGAAGGAGGGTATGTGAGGAAACCCAGCCACACTAGGATCACCATCCCAACTAGCGCCATGCTCCTGCATCGCGAGTACTCGAGGTCGCTTGGAAGGATTGCCGCACGTAGTACCGCCAGGACCACTGCTACGCGCCGTCCCATGAGGATCACCAGGCGGGCCTCCATGAGGACCCTCAGCAGAAAACCGTCTACCGCCGGCAGCCCCGTCTCCAGCATCATGGTCATGTCCATCACCTCCGTCGGGGGGGTCATTACCATCATCATCGTCATGGTCGTGGTCCGCACCTGCATGAGGGAGAAAGCGGTGTCGGAAGATAGTCTTGACGTGCGACTCTCCAGCAGAAGTTTGGTGCCCATGATCGACCACAACATAGTACGGCAAGCGCTGCCGAAATTCTTCCATGAGCAACACCGTGAGGGCATTGTCCATCCGAGCGTCGCACTTGGCTGAAAGGACCATGGTGAGGACGAACTTGTGCTCGTGGCTGTTCATCCTGACCTTGCATTGGCGACCAAGCAGCAGCTGCTGAATCACCCACTCCAATCGCGATGACGAAACCATGGAGGCGCGGCGGGGGGGGGGGGGGGGGGGCGGCCGCAAGTGCGGCCGTGCGGCCCACGGGCAAGCAGGTGCTCGACCAAATGGGCTAGGAGGGGAGGAGGATGAGGATGAGGAGGAGGAGGAGGAGGAGGAGGAGGAGGAGGAGGAGGAGGAGGAGGAGGAGGAGGAGGAGGAGGAGGAGGAGGAGGAGGAGGAGGAGGAGGAGGAGAACCAGCAGCAGCAGCAGCAAGAGCAGCTTCTGAACCTTCACCCCCGTCGGGGCCGCTGCCGCGGGAGGCTCTCGCACGCCCTGGTGGACCGCTCGGGGAGCTCTCGAAGCGGCGAGGCGTGCGTGCAGCACCGGGGGGGGGGGCGGTGACGCGCGGCGGGGCGGCGGGGCACCGCCATCTTGGCGAACGTGATGAGAATCGGAACGATTTCGGGACCTCGGCGCGGAGCGGGCCGCGTCGACCCCAGGATTCCATGCGACTGCCAGCTTCCCGCGCAGAGACGACCTAAGAAAAGACGAGGCAGGAAAGGGTGATGGCGACAAGGACGAGGATGACTGAGATGATAGCGATGGCGATGGTCAAGGTGACGGTAGCGATGGGAATGACGATGACTGAGGATGATGACGATGACGATGGCAATGATGACGATGATGACGATGATGCCGATGACGACGATGATGACGATGACGCCGATGACGACGACAACCACACCGACGACGATGACGACGACGACGACGACGGCGACGACGACGGCGACGACGACGGCGACGACAATGGTCATTACAACAAAAACGATGAGGATAACGCGACGATGATGACAACGACGATGACGATGATGAAGAATAAACGCGCGCACGTAGCACCACCCTGGCTGGCGACGCACACCCAAGGATAATACGCGTGGCGACACTGCGGCCCACCGCCGTGGAATCGAACGTGGGCGACGAGAAGAACCTCCATGCGTGATCCCTCGTCGGAACAAGCCGTGGGTGTTGCCAAGTAACTACTTTGCTGCGATCGCGAAATTAGGAACTCATTTGAAGACGAATGTGCCGAAAGCTGGTTCGCGGTACCCTCCGCGTCGTTCTCAGTCGCGCGTGATTCCCATGCCCGTGCCTCCTGTGCGAGAGAGCCCACGAATGCCGCCTCTGCTGGTAGCGGTCTCAGCGTTGACCAGTCCAGATGACCTGCACAAGATTTGAAGCCCCGTCTGCACATGATGCCGAAAATACTCAAATACGTCCAGAGGCGGTTCTGCTGAGGGAACAAGGCTGAGGCGACCAAACAAAGATGTGTCTGTCGACGACCTCGAACGAATCCGAGCTACTCTGACGAGCTCGCTCGTCCTCCGAGCACAAAAGCTAGTTGGATCGCTGCCGTACTGCCGCTGCAGAACAGGGGTGGCAAGAGCGTGTGAGTGCAGAAACCGTCCTGGTGCCCTCTCCCTCCTTCCACTCCTACGACAAGAAACAATACACCCACGTAGGCTCACAGGCCCCATGGACGACAGGGACGCACGTCCCCTGCAGGGCCAAAGAGAAGGCTGAGAGCCAGGCAAAAGGGGCACCTGAGGGAGACTCCTGGGGACGGGCATGAGCGCAGGGGACACCCTGTGGGATCGCTCCGCTCGTGGGGCCAGATCAGGGTTCTGCTGACCCGGGTCAATCCAGACCTGGGTCAGTCAGGCCTTGCAAGATCCTGCAGGATTCTGAGGGATCCTGCACCCAAACCCGGGTCAATCCTGCAAAATCTTCAACGGATCTTCCAGGATCCTGCACCCAAACCCGGGTCAGTGCGACCCTGGCTCTGCAGGATCCTGCAAGATCCGGCGCTCTGGCTGACCCCCTTTGCATGGACCCCCGTCTCCTGAGCCCCGACCAGTCCTGCCTGTGCGGCCCCTGCCCCCGCTGCTGCCCCACGGACTGTCGAGCTTGGGCTGCACTGCCAGCACGACGATGGCCCAGATGTCCTCGCGGGTGGCGGCAGCGGCAGGGTCCGGCCTCGAGTGGGGCCCGCCGACCACCCCGGATCTGCAGAGCTGGCAGGGAGAACGGGACGATCGCGCAGGCCACCTATCCCACCCTGGCTGGGGGCAGCCTTCGCGGATACGAGGAGATCGGGGGGGGGCATCTGAATGGCACAATCTATGGGGCGCAGTCCATCGGGTGAAACCACTGGGGCGCACTCAACAAGGCGCACAGAGCGCAATCCATGGGGTCCCATCTATACGCGATGCAATATATGCGGTGTAATCTGCCGGGCCCGATCTACGGCTTGCAATTATGAAGAACTTGATTATGCAAACAACCCACCCTCCCACCCGTCATGCGTTGGCGAAGTTCAACCTGGTAATGATCTCACTGAGCGTACCGGCGCATGGAGCTCAACGGCGCAAACATGTCCTTCCTGAAGATAGCGAAACGTGAGTGGTGATAAGGACGAACGCGACGCCAACGACGATGGAGATGACAGTGGCGGTGACGTTGATGCCGATGGCGTTGACAGTGGAGATGGGGACGATACCATGTCGAAGACGGCGGTGGTGATGGTGATGAAGCTGGTGGTGATGATAATGACGGTGGCAACGATGCTGGTGATGATATTGACGGCGTCGCTGGGGATGACAATAAGGAAGTAACCGCGCGCGGAACATGTCCGAGGGCGACGCTATCGACGATGACGACGATGACGGCGGCAACGATGAACCCGACAGTGCCAATAATTGTTAACATGTTCTGCCTGAAACACACATGTTATGCTGAGCGTGTTCTTATTCGGCGTTGCGACATTGGGCCGAAGGGGGGGGCAGGGGGGAGGGTGGGTCTGGCTCTAGACCTCTGCTTAGTGCGACTGTTTGCATCAGTGCGTCCTATGGGGGGAGACTCCACCTGGACGAGACAGGCGCCAAAAACGGCCAAGATCTAGTCCATGGAGGGGGGGAAAAGGGGGGGTGCGAGGGCCCGCGCCGAAACGATCAAATGGTTCCTGTATATCGTTGAACACCTACAACCTGGACGCAGGGACGTCGAAGTGCGAGCGCAGAGGCGCACGCGTGCGGCCCGCACGGTACTGTTCATCAGAGTTGGTGGGCGCGCGGTGGTGGCTGAACGTTTTCGACGTACGCGCGCGAGTGGCCCGCATGGCGTGATCTGACAGAACGGCTACTCTGGGTTTCTCAATGAGCGTGGGGGGGGGACCCCCCCGACGGGGGTCAACCTCGCCTCGTCGTCGCGCCGCGGCGGGGGTCGGGGCGCCTTCGGCGCGTGACGGGGGTCGATGTGGGGCTGTCGGCGGGGGTGACGCCCCACCCCGACGCTTACTAAAAAAATGGGAGTACACACCCGTGGGTCTCTGAAGAGTTCGGCGAATGCGCGCGCGCAAACTTCTGGCACGTTCTGTCGCAACAGGAACCAACGGCTTGGAGTCGAAACGTGCATGGTAAGCCGTACCATACAGTGCGCCTGAGGCGTACGACAGTATCCCATGACGTCTCCATACAGAGGTATCAGAGGGTAGGCGAGAGGTAGAGTATTCGAATCGGCGACTGCAATTTCCACAGGTGAATTGCACCCGTACGGTCCCCCAGTCAAACCGCCATAGTCGAGAAGGGTGGAGGAAAGGGAGAGGAGGAAGAGAACAGGAGAGGAAAGGCAAACCCAGGGGGATGGGTGGAAGAGGAAAACGGAACACGCGAGAACAGTGCTGGAAAGAAGCAGGACAAGGAGGAGGAGGAACAAAATATAGGGTTAACACAGGAGCAGTAAACGGGAGGGGGCGAGGGGGTCAGAGTGGAAGTGAGGGCGGGCTGGGGTGCACAGGAGCCGGAAGCTTCAGAGCTGGGGCGGTTACGACAGAGAAAAGGGCGTGCGCCCCTCCCCGATGGCGATAAAGACGTCCTGGAAGATCAGAATGCCGATGGTCAGTCTGCCCGACTGGGTGTCCGTCTCGAACTTCTCGGACAAAGCCCTCGGGATCTGCCGCTCGTCTTGCTGCTGCTACGATTCCTCCTCCTCCTCCTCCTCCTCCGCCCATCTGCTGCCCTCATCGTTCCCTGTCTAGTCCTCAGTCCTGCCATCCTCATCCTTCGCCTCATTCTCCTCTGGATGTTCTGGCTTCTGCACTTCCTAGGTGAAACACAAAATTGTGCACAAGCACTGGGAGCCAGCACCGACAGGCACCCGGGCACCCACAGGGAACCCGAGGGGCGGTGAAGGGGGGTCATGAGAGGCCCAAAAGGAGCGATCCAAGTGCGTTCTCCCGTTGGATGATCCTCCCTGTCCCTCCATCCTGCAACCCTCCCCGAAACATACAAGTGCGTGAGAGGGTCAATGGCAGGCGGTGAGCATCGGGAGCACCCGCCGTCTGCTGCCCGCCCTGACACATGGCGTGCTCTTGTTCTCCATGCGGACATCCCTTTTGGGCGGGGATCTCAGAGCTGCGCCCCCTGTTGACCCCCCGCAAAAGCTCGCAAAGGCAGGTGGGGCGGGCTTTACGACGATCATGGTCGAGGAGATCCCACACACCATGCCGCAGTACATCGCGGCCAGAGGATAATCCCTTCGCCACGCGATTCTCTCTCCATATGTTGTTTCTCTCTCTCTTTTTCTCTCTCTCTCTCTCTCTCTCTTTCTCTCTCTCTCTCTCTCTCTCTCTCTATTTCTATGTGTCTCTCTCTCTCGCTCTCTCCCCCTCTCTCTCGCTCTATATAGATATCTATATGTCTCTCCTCCTTTCTCTTTCTCTTTCCCAACCATCCTGTGGTGTTGGGTCCTCGTTTTGACGAGACGGCGCCCCGCGTCCCACTCGCTCCCTCACTCACTCACTCACTCACTCACTTCTCCTCCTCCTCCTCCTCCTCCTCCTCCTCCTCCTCCTACTCCTACTCCTACTCCTACTCCTACTCCTACTCCTACTCCTACTCCTACTCCTCCTCCCCCTTCTTCCTCCTCCCCCTCCTCCCCCCTCCATACGTTTCACCCACCCGATGCAGCGCTTCGTGGCCCCATTGTGAGCTCCACCTGAGGCCCCATGGGGGGGGTACCACATGCGTCCGCCACACCCAGTACGGCGCTTCGTGGCCCCATAGGGAGCTCCACGAAAAGGCCCCAGGGGGGGGGGGTACCACATGCGTCCGCCACACCCAGTACGGCGCTTCGTGGCCCCATAGGGAGCTCCACCTAAGGCCCCAGGGGGGGGGGGTGCAACATGCGGCCACCACACCCAGTACGGCGTTTCGTGGCCCCATAGGGAGCTCCACCTACCCAGGGGGGGTACAACATGCGTCCGCCACGCCCAATACAGCGCTTCGTGGCCCCATAGGGAGCTCCTCGTAAGGCCCCAGGGGGGGGTACCACATGCGCCCGCCACACCCAGTACGGCGCTTCGTGGCCCCATACGAAGCTCCACCGAAGGCGCCAGGGTGGGGGTACCACATGCGGCCTCCACACCCAGTACGGCGTTTCGTGGCCCCATAGGGAGCTCCACGAAAAAGGCCCGGTGGGGGTACCACATGCGGCCGCCACACCCAGTACGGCGTTTCGTTGCCCCATAGGGAGCTCCACCTAAGGCCCCAGGGGGGGTACCACATGCGTCCGCCATACCCAGTACGGCGCTTCGTAGCACCATAGGGAGATCCACGAAAAGGCCCCCGCGTCTCTCTTCCAGTGCCCCCCCCCAGTGGGGGTACCACACGCGTCCGCCACACCCAGTACAGCGCTTCGTGGCCCCATAGGGATTTCCACTTAAGGCCCGAGTGGGGGTACCACATGCGTCCGCCATACCCAGTACGGCGTTTCGTAGCCCCATAGGGAGATCCACGAAAAGGCCCCAGTGGGGGGTACCACATGCGTCCGCCACACCCAGTATGGCGTTTCGTGGCCCCATAGGGAGCTCCACCTAAGGCCCCAGTGGGGGTGGCCACATGCGTCCGCCACACCCAGCACAGCGTTGCGGGGCCCCATAGGAAGTCCACCCAAGGCCCCAGTGGGGGGCACCACATGCGTCCGCCACACCCAATACGGCGTTTCGTGGCCCCATCGGGACCCCACCTAGGGCTCCAGTGGGGGGGGTACCACATGCGGCCGCCACACCCAGTACAGCGCTTCGTGGCCCCATAGGGAGCTCCTCGTAAGGCCCCAGGGGGGGGGACCACATGCGTCCGCCACACCCAGTACGGCGTTTCGTGGCCACATAAGGAGCTCCACCTAAGGCCCCAGGGGGGGGGGACCACCTGCGTCCACCACACCCAGCACGGCGTTTCGTGGCCCCATAAGGAGCTCCACCTAAGTCCACCGAAGCCTCCAGTGGGACCGCCCACATGCGTCCCGCACCCAATTTGGCAGTTTCACCCACCCAGTACAGCGTTTCGTGGCCCCACAGGGAGCTCCACCGAAGCCCCCAGTGGGACCGTCCGCATGCGCCCCGTACACCCAATTTGGCATTTTCACCCACCCAGTATAGCGCTTGGTGGCCCCAGTATGAGCTCCACCGAAGCCCCCAGTGGGACCGCCCACATGCGCCCCAGAAACCCAATTTTGCATTTTCACCCACACAGGACAGCGCTTCGTGGCCCCATAGGGAGCTCCACCGAAGCCCCCAGTGGGACCGTCCGCATGCGCGTCGGAAGTCCAGTTTGGCATTTTCACCAACCCAATGCAGCGCTGCGTGGCCCCATAGGGAGCTCCACCGAAGCCCCCAGTGGGACCGTCCGCATGCGTCCCACACACCCAATTTGGCATTTTCACCCACCCAGTACAGCGTTTCATGGCCCCATAGGGAGCTCCACCGACGGCCCCAGTGCTACCGCCGCATGAGTTCCCCTCACCCAGTGCAGCGTTTCGTGGCCCCATAGGGAGCTTTACCGAAGAAGATAGTCACAAGTGCGTTACCCACAATTCCATATGGTTGGGTCCCTCGTCAATATAATTTTCCTCTCGCTCTCTCTCTCTCTCTCTCGCTCTCTCTCCATGCGACTCCATGCCCACGCTGGAAATGGTTTCCTGCGATTTCGCCACATGCCGTGACACTGCGGGGGCGGACGCTGCTAGATTATAACTTCGAGCACGTAAAGCTTACACTCCCCAGCCCATGGGACAGACCAATCAGTCACCCATGACTCGGCATGGACGCGTGAGACACCTTGTTCCGGCGGCCCGCAAAATCCGATGCACACCGACCTGTGGCAGAAGCAGCAAAAACAGATCAGCTGCGCAAAAAATAAGGCGACCAAATCATACGGATGATCCCGCTGCCACCAACATGGAGGGCATCGGGAATGGGGCAGAGGAGCGGGAAGCGGGCGGGAAAGGAGGTGACTGACGAAGGGGGGGCCGCCCTTCCTTGAAACCCTGCGCCCGCGGTGAGACACACACACTTCCTCGGTTGTCCAATCTTTTGACGATATATATATGTATATATATATATATATATACATACATACATACATACATACATACATACATACATACATACATACATACATACATACATACATATATATACATCAATAATCGAACATACTACAAAATCGTCCCCAGTCTATTTCCCAACCATCTTGTGGTGTTGGGTCCTCGGTTTGACGAAACGGTCCCCGCGTCTCTCTTCCAGTGCCCCCCCCCAGTGGGGGTACCACATGCGTCCGCTACACCCAGTACAGCGCTTCGTGGCCCCATAGGGAGTTCCACTTAAGGCCCGAGTGGGGGTACCACATGCGTCCGCCACACCCAGTACAGCGCTTCGTGGCCCCATAGGGAGCCCCACCCAAGGCCCCAGTGGGGGTGGCCACGTGCGTCCGCCACACCCAGTGCAGCGCTTCGTGGCCTCATAGGGAGCTCCACCGAAGGCCCCAGTGGGGGTGGCCACATGCGTCCGCCACACCCAATACGGCACTTCGTGGCCCCATAGGGAGCTCCATCGGACGCCCGACCGCCACACCCAATGCAGCGTTTCGTTGCCAGTGGGGCCGCTCGCATGCGTCCCACACTCAATTTGGCATTTTCACCGACCCAATGCCGCGCTGCGTGGCCCTATAGGGAGCTCCACCGAAGTCCCCAGCCGTACCGCCCACATGCGTCCCGCACACGCAAGTTGACATCATTCACCCACCCAATACAGCGCTTCGTGGCCCGCATGGGGAGCTCCACCGAAGCCCCCAGTGGGACCACCCACATGCGTCCCACACACCCAATTTGGCAATGTCACCCACCAAGTACAGCGCTTCCTGGCCCCATAGGAAGCTCCACCGAGGCCCCCAGTGGGACCGTCCGCGTGCGTCCCGCACACCCAGCTTGGCAATTTCACCCACCCAGTACAGCGATTCGTCGCTCCAGTAGGAGCTCCACCGAAGCCCCCAGTGGGACCGCCCACATGCGTCCCGGAAACCCAATGGGGCATTTTCACCCACCCAGTACAGCGTTTCGTGGCCCCATAGGGAGCTCCACCGAAGCCCCCAGTGGGACAGTCCGCACGCGCCCCGGAAGCCCAATGTGCCAATATGGCATTTTCACCAACCAAGTACAGCGCTTCGTGGCCCCATAGGGAGCTCCACCGAAGCCCCCAGTGGGACCGTCCGCATGCGTCCCACACACTCAGTTGGGCATTCTCACCCACCCAGGACAGCGCTTCGTGGCCCCGTAGGGACCTTCACCGACGGCCCCAGTGCTACCACCCGCATGCGTTCCCCCCACCCAGTGCAGTGCTTCGTGGCCCCATAAAGAGCTTCACCGAAGAAGATATTCACAATTGCGGTACCCACAACTGCTTATGGTTGGGTCCTCCGCCGGGATAATGTATTACTATTTTTCCCAACCATCCTGTGGTGTTGGGTCCCCGTTTTGAAGAGACGTCGCCCCGCGTTTTCCTCCTCTTCTCCTGTCCTCCTCCCCCTTTTCCTCCCTGTCCCAACATCATCATCGTCATCATCATCATCATCGTCATCATCATCATCATCATCATCATCATCATCATCATAATCATCATCATCATCATCATCATCAGCCGCATCATCATCACCATCATCATCATCATTATCATCATCATCATCATCATCATCATCCTCATCATCATCATCATCATCAGGGCACTCATCACCACCGTCATCGCATGCGTCAACCACACCCACTTCGGCGCACACCTTGCACGCTTCGTGGCCCCATAAGGGGGCTCCACCGAAGCCCCCAGTGCCACCGTCCACATGCGTCCCCCCACCCGTTCCGGCACAACCCTCACACGTTTCGTGGCCCCATAGGAAACTCCACCGAAGGCCCCAGCGCCACCGTCCACATGCGTCCCCCCCCACACCCACTTCGGCGCACCCATCACACGCTTGGTGAGCCCATAGGGAACTCCACCGAAGGCCCCAGTGCCACCGTCCACATGCGTCCCCCCCATCCACTTCGGCACACCCCTCACACGCTTCGTGGCCCCATGGGGAGCTCCACCGAAAGCCCCAGTGCCACCGTCCACATGCGTCCCCCTCACCTACTTCGGCACACCCCTCACACGTTTCGTGGCCCCATTGGGAGCTCCACCGAAGGCCCCAGTGCCACTGTCCACATGCG